TGCTGCTTGCTTTGTACTTGGATGGGACAAAACACCAAAACAAAAACTGTAAGGGAAAAAGCCATTCATGCAGTCCTCCAGATTGGAATCGGTATGGGAGCATGGACTAGTTGAAAAAGTACTTGGACTGAAGAGCTCAAACAAACATTAAACTTTACATAATACATGACCAGAGAAACAAATGGAATTTTCATTTTTCTTCTTCTTTTTCTGGAATTGGGAGGGAAGAAATTATCTTTACTACAGCCGTTGGACTTGTATTAAAAGAGGAAAAATAAATCACTGATAACTATTTATATTCACAAAATGACCACTTGAAAAAATAAAATTTCCACTCAATTTAGCGACCAAATGAGTAGACATAACCTGACATTAATCTATTTATAAGTTTCACTCCAGGTTGAACTTGGTTCGTCTGAACGTGGGAAGTCTACTGAGATTTGCCTCCTCTCTTCACTTAGGGGCCGTTTGAATATTACACGAGCCATTTTGATTAACTTTTTGACCCTCCTCACCCCTCTGATGAATTGGGTGAGACTGACCTGAGCCCTTCCCCCTAACTTTTCAGAAAATAACAGAGAAAACCTGAAAAATAGCTGGAGAAAAAATGTGCATACATATCAATCAATGGTGACAAAAAAGAAAAAAAAAATGAATAAACTTACAGTCTTCATTTCTATTCAGGTAACAACTCGTCAACTGCAAAATCATCGTCAGCAAATTCATCTGCTGCTGTATTTTGATACTTGAATTTTGAACCTGCTGATGTTTTTGGTCTTTCAGGTAAAGGCCCCAAAGGATCATCATAACTTGTGTCTGAAAAGATGAAATTTTAAATTTCAGAAATGGAGGATTATAGATTGCCGATGGCCCAATTTTATTTATCGGCCTTTTGCAGTTTGTGAGGTTTACATGCAGGTTGAGCTGCTGACATAAAAATTAGTCACTTTTTTGGGGAGGTGAATATACCAAAGACTAGGCACAATGTGTTTTTTGTGAGAACAGATGTGCTTGCAGACCAGATTTTGAGAGGGTTTGGTGCAAGAGACCACACAGGGACTCAGTAGGGAGGAATAAGATATGAAGAATAAAGAGTGGACCTGCAGCCCACAGCCAACCAAAATATATGCGTTTCTACTTCAGAGGGAACTCTAGGGTTTTAATTATTTGTCATCAATTTTAAAAACTGTGATTAAATTTTGGACTTACCATTGCCTCTTGATGCTGGAGTAAATGAATTCTGAAATGTTTCTGAAGTCGGAAATTTAGATCTGGGAGCAGTGGATGGTGGAACAGGTGACTGGTAATCTATTAAAGCAGATTGAGGGCTCTGACCGCTTTGAGAAGATCGCGCGCTACCTCTCCTTGATCCTGTCAGGCAAGATAAAAACAAATTAGAAAAATCTTTGGAAAAATAATGAAAAAAAAATAACAAACTCTCAGTGGCAAAATAATTGTAATGGCCTCTGGGAATGGTCTTTCAACAAATCTTTTGTGTAATTTTTCATTCTAGCCACTCTTGCTTTATGGGATCAAGATTCTTCTATTCTGTTCGAGTTATTTTTCTCCTGGGCTCTCTGTAAGAGAATTTACTTGTTTGATTAATTATTCTCCCAATTTTTAACATACTTTTTTTTCAAATGCAAAACCACTTTATTCACAATATTTAAATAGATCTGTCACTTTTGAGTCTTTTTAAAAGTAGAGAATGCTTTTCAACTGATCAGAAACAATACTTTTATTACAAAACATTCGTAATAAAAAAAAAATGCTTATACTTCTAAAAGGCACTTTTGAATAAAGTACCTGATTCTTGTTTTTAACCATCATTCATAGTCGATATATGTATTAATTTTGTTTGGCACATATGTATATTGAAAAATAATTAGTTAAAATATCTCACGAACACAGTGCAAAAACTGAGCGTCTAACCTGATCGACCACTACTGATTCTTTCGCGTACTTCTTTTGATTTTTCAACTTTCTTAAGTAAAGTTGCATAATGAGCTCCATCTTTCAGCCCAAGTCCGTTGCAGAGTCGGATTAAGAATTTAAGACCTGTGGATGAAATCAGGAAATAATTAAAACTGAGAGGACTTTCATTCAACATTTGACATCATTCGTTGGCTCTGGTTAAAAAGTGCATTAATTTATATTGCAATTTTTAACTTTTCCTACTATAGATTACTTCCTC